GGGGGGGGGGGGGGGGGGGGGGGGGGGGGGGGGGGGGGAGCACACGCACCTTTCCGCACGCGACGCTGGCGCTCAGCGGATAGTTGCTGATCGAGATCTTGTGGTCCGCGACGTGGTCGGCAAAGTCGTCCTTGCCGCGCGCCATCGCGCCGACGAAGATGGCGATCGAGTGCGTCTCGGGCAGGGTGCGGAGGTATTCGGAGAGGCGGACCGTCTTGGCGTCGCCAGATAGGGCTGGAATGGGAGAAAAGAGACGCCGGTCAGATGAAAGAGAGAGAGAGAGCGGAGAGCGTGGAGAGCGTGGAGACACAGGGCGGGAACGTACTGAGTTTGATAGTGTTGACGGGGAGGTGGTCGGTGACGGGATTCTGCACAGGGCATCAGATGTGGGCGGATCGATAGGAGAGAAAAGAGTCGATACGCACTTTGATGACCTTTAGAAGTTTTTCTGGGCCGTTGACGCCGCGGATCGAGAGCTTGTGCAGGAGTTGCACTGGACCAGACAATTTTTCAGCGACATCTTTCTCCCATGCAATAGCACGACGCACCCATGAGCCCGCTGAAGCGCTTGAACGTTCGAGGGATGCGCACGGAAGGGTTTATCTCGATGAGGACGCCCTTCGTGGTGTGAATGAAGACCTGAAGCTTCCCAGCCTTGTTCAAGGGCGAGTCGAGGAGGGTCAGGAGGCACTGCGCACAGAACTCATCAGAGATCTCATTTTTTTTCTCGCGCAAGAGGCTACGATACCCACCTGGTGCGTGATGTCCGGCCGAGCATCCGCGATGTCCCTGTTCATCTTCGCGAGTATGCCCTGGTGATCGTCGCAGTTGAGGAGCGCGTACTTGACGCCGTCGCCCTTGCCCTTCGGGCCGCTCGTGACGCGGTAGCTCTCCAGGCACGCCTGCTCGAGGATCACGTACAGCCTCCTCTGGCTCGAGTTGACGCCGCCCTTGGGGACGTGCGCCTGCACGGGGAGCATGGACGGGTTCGCGGGGCCCGGGTTCGGGTTCATGGTCCTCTTCACCTTCGAGTTGGGCAGCGGGCGGGTCGGGCGGTCTGCGATCGACGGCTTGCCGGTTTCTGGGTGCGGGTGGCGGGGAGAAGGAGGGGCGTGGTGGAGGTCGTGGTTCGGGACAGGGGCAGCAGCGCCTCCTCGGGAATCTCCCGCTCCTTCGAGCTCCTCATCGATCAGCATGCCTTTTTCCGGCGCCGCGTCGCCGTCGTCGTCGCCGTCGTCGTCGAGCTCCGAGTCGGACGAGGAGGTGTCAGGGTTGGCGCGCCGCCTGCGCTGGGGCCGGCCCTCGTCGACGGGCGTCGACTTGGGCCGCGGGAGGGGGTCCGCGATGTCGATGGCGCGCGAGGCCGGGGTGGGCGCGAACGGCTTGGCGGAGCTGGGCGAGGAGCCGGAGTGTCGTCTGCGGCGGGGGAGGGTGCTGGCCATCGTCGGGGGCGGCGAGGAGAGTCGAGAGGGAGGTCGAGCGCGATATTAGGGGGCTTTACGGCGCGTTCGACGAGCAGCGCGATTATGTATCGTTCCTGCGTTGCCGGACAGCGATGCACTGGCAGGCACCACCACTGAGCTTTGATTTTGAATTTTCATTCAATGGCACACGTGATATCAGGGGCGCCTCGTCCCCATCTTCTCGGAACCGCGTGCCATTCACTTCCCTTACATACGTTCGAAGGCTAAGATTGTAGCATGTAAGAAACGGAGCCACGATTGTGGGGAATCGTGACTAACTGGTGACATGGCGAGCCGCAGGCAAGACCTAGGATGGCAGGATCTCCCCGACTACGATATGGAGCGTAAGACGCACGTCCAAAATGAACATTGTGGATTGCGGCAGAGATCGCTTCGGAAGAACGGCCTGGCGCTTCCCATGCGAGCAAGACTCTCCACGACTTACGAGATTGCAAACTAGTGCAAAGTTGAAGACTCTCGAAGCCAAACATCGATATCCTTGCAGGTTCGCTGCAGATAACGCGCGCGTCGGTCGTTGTTTGATCTCGGTCACAATGCATCACACGAAGAGATTAACCCCATTCTCGAACAGTGGATTAAGGCCGTCTTGATAACACGCACATCCCCATCCGTTAGTGGAGTGTGACGGTGATGATTGAGTAGAGAAAACGTAAGTTTGTACGTACGGCTCCGTTGCCGTTATGACCGACGGATTGGTCTCATTCTCCTCGTCCGCTCTCGTCTCCTCTCCTCGTCACTCCCTTCGCACGACTCCTCTTCGCCGTCCTTACCGCGTTCAGGCTTTCCAGAGTCAACGGGGAGACCCCATTTTCGGCGCGTCAGAGCGCTCGCAGTGAAGTTCATGTTGACTTGCAGGACTCGCAGGTTGGATTGTATCATGAAGTGCGGCATAGGCACCCGTCGTGTTTTTATGGCAATATTATCCTCTCCGGTGGTACTCACCATATTCTCAGCCATGGCGAATCGTATGAAGAAGGAACTGCAGGTGTTCGCACCACCGGGAATGGAAGTTAGTCGTTCCTCCGATGCTCATGTTCGTATGCCGGACTTACTCGTCGAACAGGTTTATGTTGTGGCCTCTGACCACAGCACCGGAACTGCGTGTGGAGAGGGGTTTCATTATAGCATTTCTATTTACCTTCCGAACACGGTTCGACAATCCTCCATCGCGGTATGTCTCGCGGCAAATATCCTGGCTATATAGTTAACAACTCGTGATGCATCGCGCAAGGCAGCGGTCGACTATTCTGCACCGTTGGTGGAGCTTCACGCCGCTCCTGGAGAGCTACTCATGGCAGGGATTCAGAGGGATTCCTAAACAAGCCACCAGTAGCGGTCTGTATGATCTATAACGTTTTCTCACGTGCAGAATGATCGCAGGTCCCATCCATTGTGGTAAAATGTTCATTGTTCACCCTGTTCATTGTGCTGGGGATGTTGAAATCCTTGGCGCTGGGCGTGTCTGACACTCCCATCCCACGAACATCGTTGTGAAATCGGAGCCTCCCATCTCTAAACTACAACCAATGCCGGCTCTTCTGCCTACTGAGACCCTCATGGACATCTTCGAATGGGCCTCCGCCACGGATCGCCACACGGCATTCAACCTCTGCCTTGTAGCATCCTGGACGAAGCCACTGGCAGAGCGGCATCTCTACGCGACCATCAAGACGGAGTACAAGGGCGACGCCAAACTTCTCGAACGGTGGTTGGCCGAAATGAGGAAGACCAGGAAGGCGCCGCCGGGCGCAGAACACGTCCGGAACCTCTGGATAGCATTTCGCTACACGAAGCCCGATCCATCGCGGGCGCATCAGGCACCCGCCGTAAACGGCCTACCGCTCGAGCCCGTGCTCTTCGCTCAGCTCCGACTCGCGTTTCCTCGTCTGCGGTCCCTCGGCTGGGACGAATGGCGGCGCGAAAACAGCCTTTTCGGGTGGGACCAGCCCAGGCTCACTTTCGATCGCATCCGCCGGGCGCTGTCGTCGCTCCCGACGCCTACTCTGACTGAGAGGGACCCGGGTAACGCACCGTACGGGCTGCCGCCACCCGGTGGCAAGCACGTGCATCTCACCGTCAACGAGGTCCCGGACCTTCAACACGCGGACGAGGAACATAACGCCGCCTTCGACGAGATCACGCATTTGCGTTTCCGACCCGGAGCCCAACTCGAAGGCGACGAGGTCTTGGAGAGCAACTTTTGGTACATGCTCACGCAGTACCACAACCTGACGCACCTCAGCTTCGGGTACAGAAAGTACGGCGACGGCGAACTCTGGTTCGCCGAACGGGACTCTGCGCCTCTCAAAAACCTGCAGATGGTGGTGATCGAGGTGGACATCTTCTATCGCTCGAATTGGGACGGGGCCCTGGAGCTGGTCAGATACCACCGTGCGCAGCACAAGAACGGCGAACAGAGGGTGTTTACCTGCCCATCGCTCCTGGACGAAGATCAATGGGAGAGCGAGGCTTTCGGAGGCGAGAGCATTTGGGAGCGCGCACGGGCGTTCACCCAGCGACTCAGAGATAACAACTGGAAAGTGCCTCGAGAGTTCCGTCACTGGTAGCCACTGGTAGGACGATGACGAGAGATTATACCGTTGAACGGCTCATACCGCATGGCTTCATACTGCGTCAATATCTTCTTGTATAGGGTTTGGAGTGTAACCACCAGAAACGACAACGAACATGGTCTCTGTACGCTTCTCTTCCGCGAATATATAGCCAATTGCAAATCACTACCATCAGAGCCCACTCGCGCCACGATGGAAAACGCTGATATCTTCTTTGCTGGGTTTGAGGCTGATACGGAAAGTCCAGATATGCTCGTGCCCCATGCATCGAGTACGCCAATGTCCTAAAACATCGATCTGACCACTTGCATGAAAGGTCGGGATGTTCGTGAGCCATGGCCAGCGAATTCGCGCAAAAAGAAAACGCCCCGGATGCCTGCCTGCCTATCCATCGACGCTCTGGAGGGTATCATCGAGGCCGCCGCCGCCGCCGACCGAACGACGGCCCGCACCCTCTGCCTCGTCGCGCCATGGACGCAGCGGCTCGCCCAGCCGCACCTATACGCCACCATCGCGACCCACCGCAAAGGCGACGCCGCCCTGTTCGACGGGTGGCTCGCGGAGACGACGCAGCGCCGAGCGCCCGCCCCCCGCTCCCATCACGTCCGCCGACTCTGGCTGGACGGCTACGGCGAGGTCGACCCGCCCTTCCACCAGATCGACGTCCGCGCCGGCATCCCTCTCGACCCGACGCTGCTCGCCAACCTCCGTCAGATCTTTCCCAACCTCCAGTCCGTCGGCTGGGCCGGACGGCGCTGCCCCGACCGCGTCCTCGAACGCATCCGCCGCGCGGCCTGCGCCCTGCCCCCGTCAAAAAGCGGCGGCGGCGGCGGCGACACGCGAGAGGAGCCGGTCGACCTCGCGCTGCGCGCCATCCCTCGGATCTACGCGGAGGAAGGCGGGGGCCCGGGGGAAAGGAACGCGGTTGTCCACGTCGACGCCGTCAACCGCCTGCGCATCACGGAGCAGGCGACGATCTTCACCGGGCATGCGAGCACGTACCGGCTGCTGGCTCCAGTTCCGCAACCTCACGCACCTCGCCTTCGGCTTCGTCCGTCTCGTGGACTGTTCGTTCTTCGTCAAGCACAGCGCGAGCGACGCGCTCGCGGGCCTCGAGATGGTCGTGTTCGAGGTCACGGAGGAGATCTCGCTTCGGGACTGGATCATGCTCGCCGAGTACGTGGGACTGGGTGTGCCGGTGGACGGGCGCAACGACGGGCTGGTCTTCGTGGTAACGAGGTGGGACGAGTTGGAGGACGACTGGGAGAGGGAGGCGTTCGGGGGGGACAGCGTTTGGGAGCGTGCGCGTGTGTTCACAGAGCAGATGAAGAGTCGGGGATGGTTGCCACCGCCAGAGGCTTACTGGTTGGACTCGGAAGACGAGGGATATGGATCTTGAACGAGATACGTCGTCGGAAGAAGCTTGGTGCTAGCTTGTTCACGGAAGAGCGCAACATCATTCCTGGCATGGCCACCGTACGGATGGGAAAGTTTGGCGCCTCAGGTTGGACTCGATGAGCGAATTTAGTTGTGTGTGCCGCTGTGCCCTATGGTCATTACGATATATCTGTTTTGTAACTTTAAAGTCGTGGTTCGTCCGGAGACGAGTTGTCAACAGAAGTATTCGCGCAGACATCCCGGGTGGCTAGTAGCCCAGTGCACACGATGGGGAGTCAAAGTGCCACGTCGGTGAAAACCAACCGCTTGTCGAGCTACTGAGTCAGATACCGATCCCTGCTCGAGCGTACAGCGGCGAGAAGTTGAAACCCACACTCTCCACCTTATGTAGTGTCCCTATCAGCCGACCAACATCGCTCGAAACCCTCCGCATTCGCCAACCACAGCGAATCGGCCAATTCCGAGGCTGAAGCCTCATCCGGCGCGGGGAGCACGACCAACATCCCCTCCTGGTCGTGGCTCATCAACCAGTTCAACGCAACCTCGAACCGGCCCGTGAATCCATGAAAGGAAGTCCGAAGCCCCTGCTCATGCCAATGTGGCTGCAGGTAAAGCCGCCTCAGCGTGCTCGCGATGCCTCTCATCGCGTCCACCAACACGGACATTGTCGGCGTCTCATCCGGGCGCCCTATCAAGAACTTCTTGTAAAAAGGATGGAGAGTAGTGTCCGTGTTCACCGAATCGGCATGGATTGCGAGGTAGGTGCGAAGCACGGCTGGAAGCCGGTCTGAGCTCTCGATGCCGGAGAGGCGAAGGTGCTCGACGAAGGGAAAGGCGCGGCGGATGAACTCCAGTGCGAGGCCGAAGCAACCCGTGCGGCGTCTGCGTGTGTGCTGCATGCGCCGTATGTTGTTAATCCGTGTTTATAGTCCGAAGCGGCGGGCCGTATGGTAGACTTGTACACGGGCTGTAACTACTTCTACTGCTAATTCATCCTCCTCCTCAATCTTGCGATCGTAAACTTCTAGCCCTTGGTCGCGGAGCGACCTTAGGCCTGGACGCCTCTGGTAGGCGGTGGGGGTGGTGTGTGTAGGTTCGCGTATCCTCCGTCGTATGTCTTCTTCGTCTCCCTGCGGCGTGCGCATTAAAAACCCCTCCGGCAAAACCCTATGTGGGACAAAATCTCGGAGGGTAAAAAGCTACACCCGTTTGGCGTCTGCCGTCTCTTCCCTCTATGCCCCTGCTTCGCGTCGTTTCAGGGTTGTCGGTGTTGCTCTTTCTCGAATGGGTTCTTCCATGCTTCGTCAAGTTCGATCTTCTGTCCATGCGATTTCGCGAATCTCCCTGTCTGGGCTATGTACCTGAATAAATGCGGCAGTGCGTGTGGGCTCGTGAGGAGGTAGGTTGGTTCTCTCGCCTTTCGCCCTAATTCTCTCTGCAGTTCTCCTCGCTGTTCGTCGTAGGTTGGGCAGTATAGCAGATAGTGTAGAACCGACTCCTCTTCGCGTTCGCAGGTTGGGCAGATCGGGGATTCGATGACTTGTATTCGGTATAGGTGTTTGTGTAAGGGTACGTGTCCCGTTCGTAGTTGTACGAGTAGCAAGAGGTTTTGACGCGGGAGACTGGTGGCCAGCTTGTAGAAGCGCGATGCTTTGAACTTCGGGTCGGTGCGTTTGAGTCTTGTGAGGTGTTTCGAGTTGCGGTAGTGTGTGTTGAGTTTCTCTGCGATCGTCTTCTTGAAGGTCTTCGTCGCTGCTGTTTTGCTGTACGGTAGCGTCTTTCTGAGGAGTATCGGAAGGTCTCTCACCGCGCTGGACGTTCCGCGAGCTGCCTCCTTCACCTTGCCATCTACATATTCGTTTCCCTCCACGCCGACGTGTCCTGGCGTCCATCTCATCGTTATGCCTGTATCCCCGCCTCTCCTCGCTCCGATTTGGTCCATCTGTTTGAGGATAGCGTCTACGAGGTAGTGTCCAGGTCTGGGCCTCTGGTTCTGTGTTGCTTGGATTGTGCCGGTGTTGTCAGGCGCAATGGTGGCTCTGTCGTATCTTCAAAGTTTTGTGGCGAGCAGGTGTGTCGCTAGGAGCTCTCCGACGAGTTCCGCTTCTGGGATGCCGTAGTGTTCAGATCTGCCTAAATGGTACTGTAGTGTCTCACCGGGTCGTCCTCGCCTGTATACCGTTGCCGCCGCCCCTACTTTGTTGTCGATTTCGGATCCGTCCGTGTATACGATTATGTCCGCATCGTCCGCCGTGTCCGCCGCTTTCGCTTCGTCCTTGTTCTTCGCGATTTTGATCTCGAAGGGGGGCGTGTATCGTATACCGCGTCGCACGGCCTGGATCTTCTCATAATGTTGGGGGTGGATGTTGTAGGCTTCGAGTAGTTCGTGTATGGGCGTTCGGTGGCGCTTCACGTATCTTTTCGCTCGTTTCACGTGCTTCGCCAGTGGGTGAGATGTTGGTAGTGTCGCAAGTCGCATGGCGCTTCTGTGTAGGTGTTGATGGACCAGGATATCGAAGGGAAGTAGATCTGCAAAGGCGTTGACTATATCAGTGGGCGTGGTTCTCATGGCGCCTGTAATTCCTAGTGCTGCTTGTCGTTGTATTGAGGCGAGTCGGCTGATGAATCTCTGTGTGCCCTTTCGCCGTCTATCTGGTGGTGTTAGCCATACTTCCGCTGCGTATAGCATCCTGGGGACAGCGACAGAGAGGTAGAAACATCGCATGCATTTGTACCTCGCTCCCTTCGCATTGCGTGCAATCCGGTTGAATTGTTGCATGTAGTCTTGCCCTCTTGCTAGAGCCCTGGCGGCGTGCTCGTGGAAGCGCAGTTCGTCGTCGATTATGAGGCCCAGCCATCGCGCGGACTTTCATGCCTTGACGATTGTACCATTGATGCTGATATCGGGTCTAGGTATCGGTCTCGTCTTCTTGTTACCTTCTGGGTCCGGTTCTCTTCGCCTGGTGAACCCCATGTATACGGTTTTCTCCAGGCCGAACTTGCAGTTTGTTTCCGCGCTCCAGTCTAAGGCCCCGTTAATCCGTACCATAATCGATTCTGCCTTACCCGCGGACTCCTCTAGGGTGTCCCCTGTTGCTATGATGCCAAGGTCGTCTGCGAAGCCGATGCCGTCCTCGTCGTCCTCGCGGTCTGGTCCCTGTCTCAATAAGTCGTCGATGTAGAATATCATACCTATAGTTGAAAATGGGTCCCCTTGATCCAGGCCGTCGTCGATATGGATTTTCTCTGAGCTGTAGTCGTCGAATTGAAGCGTGGTCGTGCGCCCCTTGAACCTCATCTTGATCCATTCCGTGTATTCAGGTGGTACTCCTTTCAAGCGCATGATGTGGACGAGTTTCGATACTATAATGTGCGGGAAGGCAGCTTTGATGTCGAGCAAGAGAAGGGAAGCACACCTTCCTTTGCGCCAGGCGTTCTTGATGAGCGTGACGGCGTATTGCATTGCATCGGTCGTGGATCTACCCGGTCGAAATCCGAATTGAGTTGATGCTAGCAGTGCGTGGGCTTCGACCTGATGGATGAGGTCTTCGGAGAGGCATTTCGAGTATACCATGGCGAACTTCTTGATGAGGGAGATGGGGCGATGACTTCCGGGTTTGGTGTAGTCGCCTTTGCCTGGTTTGCGTAGCACAATAGTCGATATATAGGACCACTTCTCCGGCCAGTACTTCAGTTCGTTGACTGCCCTGTATAGTACGCCTAGTCGTGGGGCGAGGATGTCAGTGCATTGTCTTAGTATGGCGTTGGAGTACTCGTCTGAGTCCGGTGCTTTGTACGGCGCGAGGCGTTTGATGACGCTTTTGATCCGCTCGTCCGAAATGGGCTCGAATTTGAACTTCGGTTCTGGATATTCGTGGTCGTCCTCGTCGACTTGGAGGTTCTCTGGAGGTATTGGGAAGAACTCTCTACAAAACATGTGAGTTTTATCCCTATTTGACTTAGCCTCTATGACGTCTCCGTTTTCGCCTTTGTCGCGTAGTGTTGGTACTCTTGATCTGCCGGCATCCGTCGATGGTGTCGAGATGTAATTGCCGGCTGTCCACATGTTGGATTCGTCGATTTCTTCAAGGAAGGTCATCCAGCATTCCTGTTTGGCTTTCTGGATCGTCTGGGAGTACTTGTTTCGCGCTAGTCGGTATTCCTCGTGAGCAGGGTGATAAGTATCTGAGCGATGTCGAAACGCCTTTCGGCCACTACACCGCATGTTCTTCCGCAAGCGGTCGAGGGTTGGGCTCCACCATCTCTTCGAGTAGACCTTGTGGTGCTTGCTGATCGGTACGTGTTTCTCGATTGCGTCTGATATTGCCTTATCCATAGTCTGGAGGACTTCGTCGAATTCCTCCTTGGAGCGCACGTCTTCTGGGTACGGTTTGTCGTCCAGTGCGGTCTTGAGCGTCTCGCGGAACTCGTCCCATATTGTATCGTGGTATCTTCGGCGGGGTCTAATCTCGCTGGTTCCGAAGTCGTAGTCGATCTCCGTGAGTATTGGGAGGTGGTCCGTTTTCGGCGGTCGGTCTCCTGCTACGACTATGCATCGCGTGCATCTTGTCACTATTTCATCTGTGACGAAGACATTGTCAGGGCGCGTATAGTTCTTTGTGACAGTTGAACATAGCGTTGGTTCCCCTGCTGGCAGGATCATCTTGAGGTTATGTTTGGCGAGCATGTCTATCAGCGTCTGTGCCATGCGGTTGTTCCGGTTTGTGAAGAGGTGAGCGTTGCGTTCTTCGTCCCACAGCGGTGAATGTCGGTTGAAGTCCCCTCCCCAGAGGAAGTGTATTGGGCGTCCATGATTCGTTGTTTCTTGTCGGGTTCGTTCCTCGCTTGTGATCCTGTCAACTAGATGAAGTGCGTCAGAATGCTGTTGATCAATGTAGACGTTGAACACGATGAGATCTCCCCGTTCGTCTGTTAGTCGTATTGCGGTTACGTCTGGCGTTTCGATGTCGATCTGCTCCCATTTGTCCTGAGGTAGGGATCTGTGCACGACTGTATAAACTCTGGTATCTCGCGGCTTCCGTTTGTGCGTTGTCGGGTATACTGGGATCCACATATGGTTCGCCCTGGAGTTTCCGAGGAAGTCGACGTAGGGTTCTTGTGCCAGGCCGATCGTGATCTTTCTCTTCCCCATGGTGTATAGCCAGTCCTGTTGAGCGTCGTTAGATTTACATAGGTTCTGTTGCCAAAATGAAATCCCCCGTCTTATGTGCTGTTCGTCGTTCTGATTCATGTCGATGTCGATGCTCCCCAGTCTTCCGGTCGTGGTTCCCTTGCTGCGGCCTCTTCGAATAGGCGGTGTTCTTCGTCCGTAAGCGGCTGAACGTCCCAGGGTGGTTGGCTTGCTGTGGCGGTCGCGGCTGGGTTCTGGCTCCCTTGTTGCGTTGGTCGAAAGTCGTAGTCGTCGAGTCTGGATTGCATGCGTGGGGGTTGAGATCGTCCCGGTTCCGCGCCTTGTGAGCCCATCATTGTGCGGCCTGCCCTTGTGAGTTGGGCGGTCGGGTTGTTCTGTTTTTGCGTCTGGTTTCTCGTCCATTGTTGGTCCCAGCCATTATCCGGGGTTGGTGCTTGGAAGCGGTGTTGCGTGTTGCCGGTTTTCTGCCCTTGGTATCCCTCGTTTCTGTAGTTGTCAGTCTCCCATGTGGAGGGGTCGTCAGTAACGAAGTATTTGTAGTTGTTCTCAGGGTACTTCTCTTGGTACTCGCGGTTCTTCCTTATGAAAGTGGGGCAGGCTCGACTCCAAGCGGCGTGGCCTTTCTCTTTGCAGTTGGCGCAGAAATGGTTGTTGGTATCTTCGGCGCTCGGGCATTCAGTGGTCTTGTGTTCGTTGCTTCCGCAGGTCCCGCACGTCTCCTTCTCCTCTCTGCAGCTCGCCCCCATGTGTAGCCCGACTCGCTGGCACTTATGGCACCTTATCAGCTCCTTCATCATTCGGCGTGCGACGCACTTTTTCCCTTTCACGTCGAATCCCCATCGGATTGCGTAGTTTGCTGTTTTCTCGGTTCGGAGCACGATGGAGAGATGCGCGTACTGTTGTCCTTCATATCGGCGGGCGGGGGCCTTGATCCACCGGGCTCTGAGGATGTCACCTTCGTCCATTCCGTTTATGCGTTCCACTCGGGTGATTTCGATTGGGTCTTCGGGGCAGAATCGTACTGGGGCGCTCTCCACGAGTATAGGGTATCCTCTGGTTTTGATTGTGGCATTATCTCCGAAGTTCTCGACGAATGAAGCTTTCACCTTTGTGATTCGTAGCCATATTGCCGACGCCACACTGTTGACTTCGAACTCGATGCCGCCGTTTCGTAGCTTCCTGACCGAGCGGAAGGAAATGTGTTCTGGACGTCCAGTGAGATCGTTCGGCATCAATTCGAGGGTCACGTTTGCTTTTGCTACGAGCTGTTCTTCGTCCATCGCTTTCGTATTTTCGCCTTGTACGTCGATGATGATCTTCTTCATTTGTTGTGCGTTGCGGTCGAGGACAGCTTGGTGTGTGAACTGTGTGAGTTGAGGTGAGCGTACCGCGTTAGCATACGAGTTCGGTTTGTGTTGCGAGACGTAGTCTGGTTCCAATGTACGTGTCGTTGTCTGAGTGTATCCTCCGTTCGGCTGCGAGTGTTCGGCCATGGGGGGCTTGTGACTCTCTTGTAGTGTAATGGCGATTTCGTCCAGGGTTTCGGAGTGGTCGAAGACGCGATCTATCTGTTCCGTCAGGTTCTCGTCGATGGTGTCGAGGACTTTCGTGAGGCGTTGTTTTACGGCCTCTGTTACTCTCTCTATAACTGCGAATTCCTTTAGTGATTCCAATATGAACGCGAACGCAACTAGGTTGTTCATGAGTCTCTCCGGCTTGTCTTGGGCTGCCCTGAACAGCAGTCTGGCGATCTCGCTCGGTTCTAGTTTGCCGTTTTCGACCGTGTTTCCTCCTTGCTCTAGGTATTTCCTAGCTTCCGTTAGCGACTTTACTGAGGTGTTGCCTGACTTAATTAGTTCCTCCTTTGTTAGGGTAGCAGTGTTTGAGTTCGCGGAGGTGCGACCCCGCCCGCTGGCGGGTGTGCCTCCTCTTGTCATGTGCCGGGATTGTTACCAGTACTAGTTCTACGGCGGTATTGTAGATATAGAGCAGATCGGAGCGGTATAGGTGGTTATAGTAGACTACTTTTCTCTAGCGACGGTGCAATCCGCGTTATCGCGTATTGCGCTGGTGGTGGTCGCGTGAGAAGAAGTCCTCGCATGCGCCGTATAACATGCAAGCGTCTCACGGTCGCGAACGCGGGCGCGTGGCGGACTGAAAAGGCGCCCAGGGCGCCCAGGTCTAACGTGAGATCGACTAGACGTTCGAACGGGGAAGAAGGTTGCTGAAGTCTGGATAGGTCAACGTGGTGGGCGATGACCGTAAGGCTGAGTAGTGTTGCGCTCGCGGCACGGAGGATATTGGCGATGGACTGTTCAACGACGAGCTGCCGTTGTTTGTAACGCGCGTCGGTCTCCTTATCCCTTGTATTCTGGCGCACTTCCTCCGGGCGAGGTCGAAACCCTGTCAAGGCACGAGACCAGGAGTGCCTATACAGGTTGGCACGAGCCCTAGCCACCTCTCCATCGTCGGCCCAAGGGCTCCTGCCCGCGACTTCGTCAATGGAGATGAGCAGGTGTCGGATATCGATATGGTCGTCCACCGAGAGCTGCGATACCCGTTCAGAGAATAAGTTGAGCTGCTTCTCGCCTAACCTGAGCGCTAAAGATCGAAATCGGCTGCGCGCCGACACTGCGCGCACGACTTTGGAAACGCGGGATAGCGCCGCGCCTGTCGTGACATCGTTCAAGCAGGCATAGGCAAATATGACGTCCAAAACTTCTATAGGAGAAGTGTTCATGGTATCGTTGGAGATTCGAGAGTAATTACTTGGCCTAGTGCAAAGGCAGCCTGACTCGCAGCGGTCGCAGCTTATGTAGAGTCACATCGTCACATCTCCAGTCACGTTTGCTTCTGGGACCTCCCCGTCACCGACCACGCTCACTGGACCGCGACGGCAACTTTCATCAGACTGCAAGTTCAGAGGATAGACCGTTCATTGAACTCTAAGACCAATGGAATATCAACAATATGCAAGTCAGATGGCCCATGGATTCACAGTCTGAGGTATACTGACTCAATTTCATATTTGTACAACGTACTGAAGACACTGGTTTTTACTCAACGGTACAGATAGCGCTTACCCGGGAGATGGTGCATACGGGGCTCTGAAATATACAACTACTTCACCGAAGACGATGGCCTGAGCACTGCGTCGATCGCTTCGCGACCCACGTCCCTACTCCTTGAAGAAGGATCCCCTTTACACCCTGCCACGAGAGCTAGAGCGACCGGAGTCCCCATGCTTCCTCGAGACGAGCTCCTTCTCGGCGCGGCGACCGCGCGAGCGAGAGTTGCCAGAATCACCGTGGCGGCGAGCCTCGATCTCCTTCTCCGAACGACGGCCGCGGGACTGCGAGCGACCAGAGTCGCCGTGGCGGCGAGCGGTCAGCGTACGGCTGCTGCGGGAGCGGGAGCGGCCGGAATCGCCGTGGCGGCGGGCGGCGAGGTCGCGGCGGCCTCGAGAGCTGGAACGGCCAGAGTCCCCGTGGCGGCGGGCCGCGAGGTCGCGACGCCCTCGGGATTGGGAACGTCCGGAGTCTCCGTGGCGGCGAGCAGCGAGCTCGCGCCGGCCGCGGGATTGGGAGCGACCGGAATCGCCATGACGGCGGGCCGCGAGGTCACGACGGCCTCTGGACTGCGAGCGGCCGGAATCGCCGTGGCGGCGGGCGGTAAGGTCGCGGCGGCCTCGAGAACTGGAACGGCCAGAATCTCCGTGGCGGCGGGTGGTGAGGTCACGGCGGCCTCGAGAGCTGGAGCGACCAGAATCGCCGTGACGGCGGGCCTCGAGATTGCGACGAGCGTTGGAGCGGGAGCGACCGGAATCGCCGTGGCGACGAGCGGTCAACTCGCGACGGCCTCGAGAGCTGGAACGACCAGAGTCGCCGTGGCGGCGAGCGGTCAACTCGTCCCGGCGACCGCGAGAGCTGGAGCGACCAGAATCGCCGTGGCGGCGGGCCTCAAGAGCACGGCGGCCACTGGAGCGGGATCCGGAGCGGCCGGAGTCGCCGTGGCGGCGAGCTGCCAGCTCGCGACGGCCCCTAGCGCTGGAACGGCCAGAGTCGCTGTGGCGGCGGGCAGTCAACTCGTCCCGGCGACCACGAGAGCTGGAACGTCCTGAATCGCCGTGGCGGCGAGCTGTCAAATCGCGGCGGCCTCGAGAGCTGGAGCGGCCGGAGTCGCCGTGGCGGCGGGCGGCGAGCTCACGCCGTCCACGAGAGCTGGAGCGACCGGAATCGCCGTGGCTGCGCGCCTCGAACTCGACGTCCCGGCGGCCCCTTGATCGGGAAGTGCCAGAATCGCCGTGGCGGCGGGCAGCCAAGTCCCGCCGTCCTCGAGAGCTGGAACGGCCAGAGTCGCCGTGGCGGCGGGCGGCGAGCTCGTCACGCCGGTCGCGGGAGCTGGAGCGACCGGAATCCCCGTGACGACGCGCCTCGAACTGGAGGTCGCGGCGGCCCCTGGAGCGGGAGTTGCCAGAATCGCCGTGGCGGCGCGCCTCAAACTCGACATCGCGCCGGCCTCGAGAGCGGGAATTGCCAGAATCGCCATGGCGACGCGCCTCGAACGCTCTAGTGGAACGAGAACGACCGGAATCGCCGTGCTTGCGCTGTAACAGAACTCTGTTATCACTCTGGACGCACTCAAGGCGAGAAGGAAACATGCCTTGACGGCGTCGAACGCCAAAAGGTTCCTGCCACGGAGAGGTTCGGCAACTGAGATATCACCACCCGGGATGATCTTCACGCAGCACGTCAGTTGGTCTGCAACATTTGGGTTTCGAGCGATACTCACAGGACGAGCCTCGGTTGCGGCCAGGACGGCGGCCAGGATGAAGCAAACAAAGCTCTTCTTGAACTGCATGCTTGCAAGCGGAAGGTTGCGGTAAAGTGGTCGATATCAGGTGGTGGGGAGATTGGCTCTCGAGGCTTGCTTGGATTGCAGGCTGGCCATTTCGCAACGTCTCCCCGACCTTCTTATACCTGCGACTTGGTGCTGTCGATGCGCATTCATGCAAATCGGGACTGCGCTCAACGCAAATAAACCGGCCTCACGAGCACGCCGTCTGGCTTGGCGTAGGATCTTGCATTCGTTCTAGCATTCGCCCTCCGATCAAGCTCAGCTTTTCCCGTCAGCAGTACTCGGCGCCGAGCTTCGTACTCTGCTCACTGCTGCGGGAGATGGCGCTGTGTGCATATACCGGAATAGTCTCTCGATGGTTTATTTTTATATCGAGGATATTTATGCATCGGCTTGGCGCAGCCTGCGATGAGGACGGTGCCTCGTACATAGCAAGCCACGTTTCACAATCGAGATACTCCTCCATGTAGGCCATCTCGCAAGCGGACAGAAGAAACATTACTACTTGGAAGCTGAGCGCGGATACGACGGGTATCGCAGGACCTTGCTTGTCGTTGCTGGCCGGATGCACGAACAGCTGAGCGAAAGTCTTGTCGAGCAGTTCTACTCACCTGTCGAGTCCGATGGCTTTCCCGTAGTTCCTCGCAACGTGAGAAGCGCAGCACCGGGAGGAGCTCACACGATCAAGCCTCTCCTACACGCCGCTCGCGTCCGACTTTCCGTACCGGTCTAACACGTCTCCCGGTGGATGGGAAGATAGGTGCCTAAGAGTCCCGATCACATAGACTTCTTCGAGGACCAAGCGTCGCGGCATTTGCAATCGGAGGTTTGTTCCCTCGCCTACGTCCCATGGGGAAATCGGGTCTGAAGGACCTAAGAGTCGGCTTACACACGTATCCTTGACGAACATCATCCTCACACTGCTCATCCTTGGCTGCAAAGAGGATTGGAAACGCAATAACAGCGCAGCATGCTGTTCTCCTCGTGGTCGTCGTACGGCCTGGATCGGTCTGCTACTTGTTTACTATCGACAAGATCATCACAGCGGACACAACGATCTTATCAGGCCCGCCATGGAGCTGGCGAATCGAATCCAGACAACGGGATTCGCGATACGTTTGGATTACCAGTCTGTCGTATCCACCCTGCGGACGTAGAGGTCTTGCGCCTCGGACCTCCCAGGTGGTGCTCACGCAACCTATGACGCCTTGATGCTGCGCACTAGCACCCTGCTCAATGGCACCTTCAGGTATACGCATGACGATATGGCTTGGACTTGTCATGTTGATCCCGAATTCGAGTCAAGCTCTCACCGCAGCGCACGGAGAACTGCAATTCATCCTCAATATTAGCCATAAATGGCCCCATCACGACCGGGGGTAATGTATCACCTCATTCTCTAACGCAGCTCTTCATGCTCCCATGTCATATGTCTGAACAAGTGGCGCACGCCCAGCGCCTTTCTCCAAATCCACCTCATCGCGCACACGACCAGGGATAGCTGGCGATGGCGCTCCCATCGACGCTAAACCCAGCTCATCCGCCTCGCGACTCCCATGCATCGCAGCGCGACTGTCTCTGTTCTTCTCTGGGTCGGCCAGGCGCTCTTGGGCGTCTGGACGTGAACCAGCGTTCGGGCGTCCGTCCTGTCCGGCTTGGCGCTGCCGGCGGTCCTCAGTCCTTCGTCGTATATCATCACCGTCCCTCCTGGCGTTCGCCGCAGCCGTCCTGATGTCGTCCATACTGCCGTAGCTGCGGAAGGTGATGATGCACAGCGAGAAATACAGCATCCCTATCCCGAAAAGGACTGTAAGCGCGATCCGGGGACCGAGTACCTGCTGTGGCGACAGCTTGGGGCGGTCATCTGGGTCCCTTGTCGACCCCGTCCTCCACAGGAACGCCATAATCGAGGTCACAAACGCGATGACCGACCTGGATGGGCATCAACGACGGACGAGAGCTGGAGGCGTGCTGACTCACCATGCCAGCCATATCGCAGGCATGCCCAGCAACACCCACACGTTCCAAAAGATCGCAGTCTTCGTCTTCTGGGCCTCCTGCGTCGGCGGTTTTATCAATACTATTCTATCGATTTATAGCTGAAGCCTTACCTCAGCCCACCGAGATGCCTTGTACATCGACCTCATGGTTCCGAACCTGAGCGTAAAGATACACCCAAAAGATAGGCTCATAATCGCGCAAATGAGGGAAAAGAGGGCTGCCGTCCGTGTCACAGGATCCTCAGCCGCATCTTCAATCTGAAACATCGTCAAGATCGCTCTACATGCCCATGCACTCGTCAGCATCAGACGATCAGGACAGGATTTGCGGTCACGTACGACAACAACAATGCGGAAACAACGTTGAGCGTCTTCCACTCTTTCTGGAGCGAGTCAACAAACGTCTCCCAGGAGTGCTTGAACTTCGCCAACGTCGGGGAAACCGGCATCGTGTTCTCCTGCGATCCCTCAGTTGCAATCGGCACGCTTTCCACCCGCGCGTGACGACCATGTCTTCCTTTAGACGGGGGCTGTGGGCCATGGCCCTCCCGTTGACGCTCTACATCCAGCCTCTCCCGCTCCTCCCGTTCTGCGTTTGTGCGCAGGGCCCCCTGGACCACCGCAGCGTCGCGCCTATCCCAGGTGCCGAACCGCGACGTCCCGGCGACGTCGATCATCCCTTGCACCTCCTTTTTGCTCACTTCGGCGTCCTCGAAGATGCGCGCGACGCGAGTGAAGTAGAGCGCTGGGAGACGAAGCAGGACGTGGAGGTAGACGATTCGGAGGATCGTCTCCGCGACCTGGCCTAGCGGTGCAGTGCGGGTCGATTTCGGCACGTCCACAGAGGCTCTCCGGCTGGTGCAAGGAATGGGTAGACAGCACACGATGGTGTCATTGCACTCGAAGTTGTAACCCTCTTCATCTGCGACAGGAGGATGCTGGACGTCGATAACAGAGCTTGGGTTGCGCAAGGGTCGGATGCGCAGACTGAGGCGAAGCTGGAAGGGGTCCACCGGCACAAAGGGCTCGTCACTTCGCGACTGAGCGCGGTGCAAACCTGTGAGAGACTGGAAGAAACGCAGAGGGGATGCCGCGCGGGACGTGGCCGGCGTACCCTCGTCGACGCTCTGTCCTCGGAGACGAGGGCCCACTCGCAGTGTCGACCGCGACAGTCTAGCGGTGGAGTCACGGGTCGGGAACTGTTGCGAAGTGAAGGTGCTTCCTCGGACGGAATTATCTCTGAGGTGGTGCTGCAGTGGAGTGGAAGTGCTGGCACGAACAGACGATTGTCTGACGGGATGCTGTGGTGTAGAGGTGCTCGCTCGAATCGTCGAGTCGCTTGCCTGTGCAAGTCGAGCAATAACCGCTTCATAGAGGTCAGCACGGGGTCACAAATGTTGTGCCGTGAGTTACTTACATTGCTTGATAGTCCGTGGCGTTGCCGAGAAGGAGCCATGGTCGCTGTCGAATGACACTCGCCGATGATGTGACGCAAGCTCATCGTCACTCTCCGCCGTGTTTGCATATCTCTGATTTTCATTGTTGGACATTGCTGATAGAAAACCTAGGCCATGAGTCACGCCTCCGTGTAGGTATTCGTGCAAGGAAGACTGTGTGGAGCTCGAGTTTTCGATTCGGCGGGATGCTCGAGCGTTACCCCGACCGCGACCGATACCAGGTGATCCTGGCGGCGAGACGGGGAGGGCCGTGAGTTTGTCCGAGCTTGTCTGCTGCGACGATGATGTCTTTGATGCTTCCAACCTCGGAGCGCCTGCTGACGCGTTAGGCCGGACGCTCCAACGCAGGGATCAACACCAACTCACTCGGGAGTTCGGGCAGTAGCATTTCAACGGGGCTGCTCGAAGAAGGAAACGGCACAGCCATTCGTCCTCGATAGCCAGACGATCTGACCGTAGCACGAGCTTCATGTTCGGAAGCGAACGACGAGCTTTCGCTGGACGAATTCATAGCGCAAGGTGGTCGGCGTTCTATGTCCTGGATCGCGCGGGTGTGGTTGGGAAAGAGTCCGGATGCCCATTGCGTTCGTTGGCGGGATAGTTGACTGTCTGCCAGCAGAAGCCACTTCGAGGTATATATAGAGTTGGACGTTGAACATAGCCTTCCAAATCTGGACTTGCCCGAATGCCGCAGTCCGAACAAGCCTCGGGGTCGTGTGCTCAATCAGAACGCAAAGTAGGCGCCAGCTTCAGGACATCCAATGGACGAGGGACTCCGTTATCGGTGTCACCGGGCATAGTGCGGGCAGCGTGCTTCATCAAAGCCACGACAGTGCTGGCCGCAATGAGCTGTACAGCCATGCTCATAAGTACGATATCCAGTGACTCCATATCGAGAATACTGTGGCATTGTAGACATACCATCGTGCTGTCCGATCGACAAGTCAACACAACCACATGCGACCCCGCACCGCGGCGGTCCTCAACAATACAACGGCGCACGCTAATTAGACAAGCAGCTGACAACCTCTCCGCCACATCCCTGCTCAAATGTACCCAGCGCTAGTGCCGAGCGTCAAGAGACACTCAGAGTTTTCCTGTCTTTGCGATCTTAACGCCAACGGCCAAATTCGAACGCAGCTCGGGGCAGTGCGTGCAGCGTGAGGACAGATCGGAACAGCTTCGGAGTCCGTACTAGTGGCCGAGGATGGCTTTTTTGCGCAGCAAATACGGACATCACGGCCCCAAGGGCGTATGACATCCTTTGTGCGTGTTCGTGTCCGAGAAACGAATCGTCAGCTCTAGGCCTATCATCATAAGAATCGAGCGCCTTCTTTGCGAAGAGGCAGGGCTACATACCGTACGAGGCGTTGCAGTCGTGAGTCGCAGTGTGCCCGACTCTCAGCTATGATTCCCGTTGGAGTCCGACGGAAAATACGTAACGTCTGGTCTCCCCAGTCAGACTCTCGATGAACAATGAAGACAGTCGTTCACACGCATGAGCGCAACGTCGACGCCGTTACACTGCGGGAAACTGGGCAAAATATATCAGAGATAATTTGCAAAATAATTCAGAAAAGCTATGAGCTAAGTTGACCCAAATGATGTCAAACTTACTGCAAAGAGACCGGGGAAGTAGTCATATTCTTGACATATATCTGCATCCTTGAGATAAATCTGTCATAACCTCAGACTAGCTTAGCTGCAAATATGTCAGTAACAACCATAGTTATTATACAACAAGGGATTTCCCGCTGCGTTATGTATGGTCATCGGTGGCGCGTGCGGAGCTCCGACTCGGACTCGTAGTACATTGTCGGTCATCTCTACTCAACATGTACACCGAGGCTCTGGATTCCCGATAAAAACTGGTCACGCACCAGGTACTTGCAGCGCTTATTAAAATATTCACTGGAGCTGGACCGCCAGCGAATTACGAGTCGGAAGGAGGACATAAAGTCGTAATTTACGACTTCATGTCCTCCTTCCGAACATTGCACTACTCCATGCGAGGCTCAACTGGCCGGGATCTATGCTACGTGGTATCTCATCGGCTCTATGATCCAAAGAGCAAGTCGTTCCACGAGATTTCTGGGAGGTCTGTGCACCGGGAATTGACCAAAGGAGCCAATCCACCTTCCGTGAAGTCGAGCCGCACGGTTATTCCGCATCCGCTCTCTCCTGGTATAAGAGCTCGCTGGATGCTCGTTATATGGCCAACTACATCTTCTCCTGATACATCCATCACCTCATTACTGCAAAGCAACCACAAACTTCCACATCTCAATCATCCCCTCATAATATCATGCGCTCCACTCTCATCGTCGCTGTCCATTACGCCGGTGCCTCTGTCTTCATCTACGAGAAGTCGGACGGTACGCTGGTCTTTTATGAAATCGTTCGCGGAGGTGTCCAGGTATGTGGCCTTGCCCCTTATTTTATCAACGACGAGCCTCATGAACGATATATCGATCACGCAGGTGCCCACGAGCCCTTCGTCGTCGTTGGAAGTTAGAAAGGAGCTGCCCGTGGCCTCGGCCCGGCCCGTCGTTCTGCAGGCGGCGGTCACCGGTCTGAGGTCGGTCGAGAGGGGCTTGAAGAGGCTCGGTTCCATCGTCACTGGAAGGCGCAAGATGCCGGCGGTCGTCGAGATCAAGGTCGAGGTCGATGTCAAGGTCGTGGAGGAGGTGCAGGAGATGGACTGGGATATGGTGCTCGGTGAGGGTCAAGCGACGGTGGAGAGGAGGAAGGCGATGAAGAAGGGCTTGATGGGGGCGAGGAAGGCTATGGTGGAGAGGAAGGGAGCAATTCGGCGGGCAGGTCAGGTTGATGTCTAAGGGCGTCGGAGTGGGGGCGCAGGTGGAACTTCGCACTGCACTTCTTTAGGTGAGTCTTCCTGTTTTTCGTTATGATTCCTTGTCTGAATTTCGTTCGCAGATTTTACAGATTCCAGGGACCGGCGACCAGGCTTCAAGAGACTCCGATGCGCTGATATTTGTTTTCGGTAAGCCTCCCTTCATCTCCATACATATGATCATAGGCTAACCATTTCCACAGGCTCTACTAATCGCTTTGCTCTGCTTTTCAGGTCTTGGCTTGGCTCGGTTTCGGCTCCGGTTTCTAGCTTCGGTCTCTTGCGCTGGTCGCAAGGGGGCGCGAGGTTCGAGGGGTTGGAGGTGCGCGGATATCGTTGTGCACGGATGATGTTCGCGGTATCTTTGACTCTCGGCCCTCGTGCCCCCGGAGAGCGCGCGCCCGATTGCGAACACAGTCGGGCGCGTGCATCTCACCCCAACTCCCTCACTGACACACATCTCTCTAGGTGACGAACGCGCTTTACTGAATGTTGAGTTTTTCTTAGGAATTTCAAGTTTGTTGTCGACGCTCCGGGATGGGTCTGGGTCGGGCAATGGAATGGAATGTTATAACAGCGTCATGTATCTCTCTGCGCTCAGTGTCTCCCGCATCATTGTGCAATGTATTCGCGAATTCGATGACATACCTTGGGCTAATTTTGTGCGACTGCCCGTGTCTTCTTGCGCGGGGCACATCGCGAGGACCATGTCCATGGATCGTTGGTATGAACGGCCACGAGTGTATTGTCATGCATCCACAAAGGGAGATGATCATGTCGAAGGGTACATCGAACAGCGGCAGCGAGCAATGGAACCATTGATGTCACCAAGAAGACCGAAACGGTATATGTGCAGAGAGAAATGATAAGGATAAGAGACAGAGAATCCGCGGAGCACTATGACGAGGAGTACGATGAGGTA